ACTGGCTGGTTGAGAACCACTGTGTTAGAGGATCTAGAAATTTCTAGAGAGAATACCTCTCTAGGAATCACTAGGTCCTCCAGTGTGAATCTATGGTCAGACTCCACAGGAAATCAATAATAATAATAATAATAATAATAATAATAACTTTATTTTTATACCCCACCTCCATCTCCTCGATGGGACTCAGGGCGGCTTACAAGGGACATGCCCATCAAATACAGATTAGAAACAAGCACAAAAATAGAGTCAACATCTAAAAACAATAAAACATTATAATCAGACAAACATCATAAACCTAGAATCAACATCTAAAAACAATAAAACATTATAATCAGACAAACACCATAAACCAATATCGAAGGAACAACGGAAGAACCAGGTTTTTAATTCCAACAAGAGAGTCATGCTGAAAGACCTAGAAAAAATAGCAATTTTTAACTCACTTTAAAAAAAAAACTTTCACAGGGGTCCTGTGTCCTAACTCCAATGAATGCAGAGATATTATTGTATTGTTATTTTTTCCCCCATGTCAGGAGCAACTTTTGAAACTGCAAGTCGCTTCTGGTGTGAGAGAATTGGCTGTCTGCAAGGACGTTGCCCAGGGGATGCCCGGATGTTTGATGTTTTACCATCCTTGTGGGTGGCTTCTCCCATGTCACTGCTGGAATTGACAGAGGGAGCTCAATACACTCTCCCCGGATTCAAATTGCTGTCCTGTCGGTCATCAGTCCTGCTGGTACACGGGTTTAACCCACTACATCACCGGAGGGGCTCCTACTGTTATGGTTGGCAACAGCTGTCTGGTTTCCAGGCAAATATATACACACACACACACACACACACACAAACAAGCCTATATGTCTTTTACCCCAAAACAATAAATCACACTTCTGTTTAACAAAATGCCTACTATGAGTTTCAAATGGGGAGGAATAGTTGAAGGATTTGGGATGCTGGAAGTTGTTGAAAACTGGACAGAAATCCACAAATGTTAGGTAATCTAGTAGCCACCCAAACCCTTCAGAAAGCCAATGGAGGTAGGCACTGCAAACATTCTTCCCTTTCATTCTCAAAACATAAACAACTTATAAGAACTTGTGATCAGCTAGCCAAATAATGAAAAAACAAAATAGAACATGTCCCCTCCTTATATTCTGACAGTTAAATATGTATATAATTTTTTAATCTAAAAGTTCCCAGCAATGTACAAATATGCTTTTATATAATTTATTACAATAATTTAGCCTGAAGTATCCCATGCCCAGTAACTACAGTACTTTCTGTTGCGGTCAAAAATCAGTTCCATTCTAAATCCAACATCTTAGGAAATGGCAATAGCATATTTCATACATGTAATCAAAGAGGATACACTTAAAGGGTATAATGCCCATTTGGAAGCAATTCCAATTTAATCTAATGTGGCTTACTCTCCAAAAACATTTGCAGTGTTGCATTATAGGTAAAAACTACTAAAAGCTTTCACACTGCATCTCATTTACTTGAAATTGGAAAATTGTCCTTTATAATTGTATATGAATAAGATGTATACAAATCTAAATTTGAAGTCATGATCAATTCAAGAATATCTGTCCATTGTAATTTTTAATAAATAGGATGAAAGTTGGTATTGTTAAGACCGTTAAAAGTGAAAGATAAAATACAAGAAAACATAATTTTGACTTTATTTATCCTAACATTTTCACCTCTGCTTTCTGTGCAGATACATACTTAGGATCCTATGTGAAAAAAGACATACCCATCAAGTGAAACTCAACAAAATCCAGCAAATCAAACAAAAACAAAACAGCATTAATTTTGAATGTTGTAACTAAAAAATATATCCAGCAAAAGTGGGTAATCAATAAATTTCTAGAAAGAACAAGGATGGCAGGCTCAGGACAGCAAGATGAGTTCACACATTAACATAAAACATAACAAAAATCACTCAATACTCAGCTAATTTGGCCTGTAGTGCAGAGCACCCTACTTGAAGCTCCACCCCCTTCAAAGGAGAGGATGAAAGGTATTTTGCCTCCTAAATATAGATAACATGGAAGAGAAAGTGGAAGAAGACGTTATGCTGGTGTTGCACTGAGAATCAGCACTGTTTCAAGGTGGGGACACAGTCTTTCATTCGTTTTGTTTTCAGACATCATTTCTGTTAGTTTACATGGAAGGGAAAGGAAAATTGACCTCCCTGGGCTTAACTGGATCTTCAAAGCATTGGTTAAACCCATATTGCTCATTCTTCACTATTCCCACAGTGAAACACAGAAGAGGAGGAAACTCAGCTATTTGCTAAGCTTTTGGGTGCCAGCTAGGTCTCAGATGCTAGCTGACCAAATCTGTTTTACTTCGTCAAAGTGCTGTCTGAGTCTGCTTCACTTTTTCACTTCATTCACAACATGACCAAAGAGTGCCAGCTTGGCTGGAGACCTTATGATGCCACAGAATAAAATTTCAAAATACACATAGGGCTACAAAAAGCCAAACACTAACAGATACTTGGCTTGAGACTGGAAATTCATGTTCTGGTCAGGTAGTTCCATCCATCACTCTGAAAACAGCATTTTAGATCAGTAATGGTATCTAAATACTTTTCCATGGTAACCTCATATGGCAGGTCTATTAAACATATTATTCATATTCCGTTTTAGATAGTACACATGAAGAACTACAAAAGCATGTAAGATTATTATTTTCCACCTTTTTCACAGAAGGAAAGAATAGGTCTAATTAAATGAATTCACTCATAATTGCTTTTACTAATTTTACAGGAATCATTGCAGAATGACTACTAATTTTATATGATTATTTTATTTTGAACAATTGGTATAACATATGAAATTGTATAGTGTAATCCTAACCATATTGATTCCTCTGGTCATTTCCAAATAGGCTCCCGATATATAAAATTACATGAGTAAAATTAATTTAATTTTAGGAGAAATTACTATTCTGAAATATCATGGAAACCTTTATCTTAATCTTTCTTATTTATTTATTCAATCTGAAAAGTTTTTATTTTAACAGTCATATTGCAGAAATTAAATTTTAATCAAGATAAAAAAAAATCTTTGGTTTGATTGCTTCCCCTGCCTCGCTCCATCTCCCAAACTTTACACACACACACATAAATACAGACACTTCTGAATAGTGCCTACAATAATTGTTCCTCATTATACTACTTCCCACCTTCCACCCCTCCCATTGCAGTGACCTCCCATCCTTTGGATTGAAGACATTCATATACATCCTTACTCTGTCCTTCCCAGTAAAACATTCACCCATTCTTCCCTCTCTAGCACAAGAATCATCATTTAAAAATTACAAGCAAAAATTCTAACAAAAACCAAATTACAGAGCCTATTCTAAATTGTTTTCCCTTCTTCTCACAGAATTCAAAGATAGTCCCCATGCCTTAACAAAGTTCATCTTTATTTCCTCTACATCCCTCATTTCAAAAACTTTCACTACCCTTTTTTAAACTTTTTTCTCCTTCACTACAAGTCCCTGTCTCTTTGCCTTCTTCCCTTCCCTTGTCTAATGTTGCATCCTCCTCTTATCTTGCATCTAGTGGTTTATCTAGTTCAATATTTCCCTTACTTTCTAACTAAACACCATCCCTGCAAAATGCTGGTGTGGAAGCATAAGACATTACAAAAAAAAACAAAACAAAAAAAAACACTTTTTCACAAACCAGGATGAGTTGTTACACACATCAAACTTTTTTTCTAAGTATACAATACAGCCCTATACACTACTGCTTAGACACTTACTCACTTGACAGAATGACTGTGGGGGTGGAGGGAAGTAAAGAAAAAACCACTGGGAGTCAGCTACAGACATGCTGCACATCTACCAGAATGAAGACATTATATTTTTTCATCAATTTTTTTGGTATATTTTCCTCATGTTCTACCATGTTACAGTATAAAAGCTTCCGAAATCTACTGTCTTGTGAGCTCATGCTTTAAAATAATATTTTCCTTTATACCACATGGTTTCCCCATATATCATGAATAGGTAATTAATTATTACTGGAAAGCAGAAAGCAAATTTGTGCACCTACTTATAAAGAATTTTTTTTAGAGTTTTATCAGTACACTGGTGAGCTCTAAAGTTGAAAAGCATCATATGATCTCTCAGGGGAAAGAAAAGCTATAGTGATTAATAGAGTGTTCTGTGAAGAAAAACTAGATTGATGCACTCATCAAGGCCATACAAACACAATATTTTAACAAAATACCACTTCTAGACCCCTTCTACACAGCTATATAAAATCCAGGTTATCTGCCTTGAACTGGACTGTATGGCAGATAATCCAGGGCCCTTCAACACAGCCCTGCTTTGAACTGGGTTATCGGAGTCCACACTCAGATAATGTGGGATTTTCTGCCTTAATATTCTGGGATATATGGCTGTGTGGAAGGGCCCATGTTCAAACCAGATAATGTGGATTATCTGTCTTAATATTCTGGATTATATGGCAGTCTAGAAGGGCCCTCAGTTGACTTTATCAACAAATGCTCAAACAATATCAAACTGTTACTATCTCCCATGAGTTATTCTCTTTCCATTTCTTGCTTTCATACCAACTCAAACTCCTGTGTCCCCTTTTAGCAAAATGTCAATTTGTAACAATAATTGTTCAGGGCAAGAAAGCAGACATCTTTGGCCCTTCTACGTTGCTATATAATCCATATTATCAAAGAAGACAATCCACATTATCTGCTTTAAAATATCTGGGTCTACACTGCCATATAATCCACCTCAAAGCAGATATGCTGGATTTTATATGGCAGTGTAGAAGGTGCCTTTGTTACAAAAACATATCAACACTTACTAGTGTGCTAAGGATCATAGGATTTTTATAGTGCTTTAAAAATGTACAATGAGTTACACAAACTGTAATGAGGAGTAATATTCAAACAAGTATTTTGGGACAATAGCATAATGTAGTACAAAGTGGTTGTTTTTTGTTTTTGTTTTTTTACCTTGAATACTTTGCCAAAAGCACCATCACCCAGCTCGCCAATAATTTCCCAATAGTCCTCCGGATTCAGGTCTCTTTTGACATGCTCATACTGCTTCTTCTTCTTTTCACCTCCCAGTTTGAAGATCTTACGAAAGTTAAAGAACGACATTTTTGCCTTTGACTATATCAAAAATTACACAGAAAAATATATAGCCAGAGATTAAACAGTCAGCAGCCTGGCTCTTTCCAACTCTCTTCGTCCCTTCTTGGCTTTGCAGTCCAAAAAAGTAAAAAATGAAAGGCACAAAACTGCGACTATCGTGTCATGTGATGACACTGATGCTACTAGTACGAGGACAGTCAAGGCCACAATTTTTCACCTTATCATTTAAAGTTCAGTATACGGTGATCCAGTATCAGGAGGAAAAAGTAACAGGTTTCTCAAGCCGATTTTAGTAATCTGAGTCATATGATGAATAGTAGTTTCTTCCTTACAATAAGGACACAACAGCACATGGCAAGGCCTCAAAGACGCTTTAGGAAAACGCCTATTAATGGCTGTCATAGACAGTTTTATGGACGAAGAAAGTCCCCTGTGGAGCATCCAACACTTGGTGGCTGGTCCTTGTGCCAAGCAACACAATGGTGGTTTTCAAATCCTGCCTCAACTGAGATTATTAAACAGCCTGGATTTTCAGCAACATTTCAGGTGCAAGCTTCTTTCCTTTTCTCCTTCATGGGACACAACTTTTGATATTCCAAGGTTGTGCAAAACAAGCATCCTCTTGAAGATGAGTGGGGAAAGAAGTCCTCTTCTTGGACAGCTGGTCGCCTGTTGAATGGAGGGTGGGGAGAGGCACAGAAAAAGAAGAGTTACTTTCTCAAAATATGAACTTTGAAACATTCCTCTTCCAGGCCCAAAACTTAGCCATTTCCAATTATGAGTCAACCCTATCTATCTATAATAAAACAGCCCCCAACGTATGCTTTGAATAACAACACTGAGAGGGAGGGAAAGTGCGAAGAGAGAAAAGCGAGACCCATTACCTGTCTGTTGAGTTGAGAGGAAGGGAACGCGGGGGGGGGGGGGGGTGGAAAGAAATTCCTCCTCCCCGTCGCCGCCGTCGCCCTCCTCCTCCTTCTTTTTCTGGGCTCCCACTTCCTCCGTCTCCTCCGGAGCGAGGGCGGGGCAGAGCAATAAGCCTTCTTATGCCGAGTTCCTCTCCTCCCCCACTCAAGCCGGCCAGCGCCTCACAGGCCGCCACCGCCGTCGTCGCCGCCTCCCTTTTCCTCGCTCTTCCTCAAGCTCACCAGCCAACCGTCGTCGCGCGCGCGCTGGCTGTCTCTCTTTCTCTCGAGCGCGCGCGCGCTCCCGCAGCCACACTCGTGCGCGCGCAGGTTTGATTTCCTTCCGGTTTCTACTTCTCTCTCCCACTCTCTTTATTCTCCACCCCCCCTCACACACGCCGGCTCCTTCGGCACGTGATGACGTTACGTCACTGGCCCAATGAGAATGCGCAGAGCTCCCTGGCGGGTAAGTCTGGAGGTCTCGAGACAGGGTTCAAAAAAGTGAGGGAAGGAAAGTGGAAAGGGAGGGAAGGGGGGGGGGGGGCGGGTCGAGAGCGAGCTGAAGAAGGTTCGTTGCAACGGGAAAGGAGGAGGGTCAAATTTATTAAGCGTGCACGCGCCTGCCTGTTATGCCCTACAGCGGGCAAATCAATGCGAGGGCAGTTATTTATTATTATTTAAAACATTTATATTCCGCCCTTCTCACCCCGAAGGAGACTCAGGGCGGAGCACAGCATATACACGGCAAACATTCAATGCCAGAACACAAATTGTTATATACATACATAAACATTAAAAAACATTTATCAAAATATTAAAATACACCATTTAAAACCGTCCTAGACATCCGCATCAAATCCAATTGGCCCTGTCATCTTTCCCACTGCCGCTTCATTGCCCTGTCCCGAAAGCTTGGTCCCACAGCCAAGTTTTTACCATCCTTCTAAAGGACAGGAGGGAGGGGGCCGACCTGATCTCTCCATAGCTGGGGAGCAATCACCGAGAAGGCCCTGTCTCTCGTCCCCACCAATCGTGCCTGTGACAATGGCGGGACGGAAAGCAGGGCCTCCCCGGAGGATCAAGCAGAACAATGACTTCAAACTACAAGAGAGGAGATTCCATCTGAACACGAGGAAGAACTTCCTGACTGTGAGAGCCGTTCAGCAGTGGAACTCTCTGCCCCGGAGTGTGGTGGAGGCTCTTCTTTGGAAGCTTTTAAACAGAGGCTGGATGGGCATCTGTCAGGGGCGCTTTGAATGCAATATTCCTGCTTCTTGGCAGAATGGGGTTGGACTGGATGGCCCATGAGGTCTCTTCCAACTCTTTTCTATGATTCTGTGATTCTATCTTAATCTCTGTGATGGTTCATAGAGGGAGATGCATTCGGACAGGTAATTTGGGCCGGGGCCATTTAGGGCTTTATAGGCCAAAGCCAGCACTTTGAATTTATCACTACAACTGCAACATGCAAATTTTCCCCATAGAAGTTACAGTCTTCCAGGGAGCTCTCTCTAGATATGCAAATTTGTTTGGTGTTTTCAAATTTCAAGATTACTGAAAGCTCAACAGATATATTTTTTTAAAAAAGCACCTTCCTTGGATGGATAGCCATCTGTCAGGGGTGCTTTGATTGTGCTTTTCCTGCATGGCAGGGGGTTGGACTAGATGGCCCATGTGGTCTCTTCCAACTCAGTGACTCTTATGAAATTGTGTTTTTAGCATGATCATATATACAGGCCCAAATTATATGAATAAGCTGTGGAGCGGTCTGTGTGTTTTGCTTTTGCACAAGTTGCTAACTTGTGGGATTCACACTGTTCCAAAAGGTAATGGATTTGATCTGCTTTAAAATTATGGAAGATTAGACCAGATCATGAAGGGTTGGTTCACTGATAACTCTTAAGGTGTATCTCTCCTGTAGAATGAGTACCGTTTGGCACCATTATAAATGCCATGGCTCAGTGTTATGGAATCCAGGGAGCTGTCACTTTGGAATGCATGAGTAGTCTTTGGCAGAGAAGGCTAAAGACTTTGTAAAATGACAACTCAAATGACAGTGCAGATCAGGCATGGGCAAACTTCTGCCCTCCAGATATTTTGGACTTCAACTCCCACAATTCCTAATAACCAGTAGGTTGGCTGGTATTTCTGGGGGTTGAAGTCCAAAATACCTGGAGGGCTGAAGTTTGCCCATGCCTGGTGTAGATGCTCCCATAGTCATAACAGCTGTGTTGAACATTCATGTGTAAGGCAACTCACCTTAGATTGATAAATCCTAAAGCCAAATATTATGGAAAGCTGTGATATGATACAAAAGCCTCTGGGCTTTACTGATGTATGGGTTGGATAGCTGCTGTTAAGAAACAAGGTGATAGATGAACAGCTAGCATGGATTTTCATATGTTGTGACAGAACTATCTTTATGTTGTTTGGACCCTAAATACCTTTGGGATGAAAACTAGATACATTTCTTTTACAGTAAGCTAATATAGCTACCATTAATTTTAAAAACCCTAATCCTTATCTTGCTTATTGAGTAGAGATGATAAATATTAATTGCACTTGTCATTTGGTTTAGAAAATCTCACAGTGACATGATTAGATTGCATTTTTAAAAACATATTGTACTTATCTGTTGTATATGCATAAAATAAACATATTTGCCAACATACAAAAAACAGCATTTCTGCCCTCAGATCCACATTGTTACCTAACTACTTTTATTCCTATTTGACAAATTAGGGATTTTATTTTATTTTATTTGCCTCCTGGTTTCAGCATTTCAAGACAGTCTCTTTGATGACTTCCTTTTTCTTAGTTGCTGACCTTGATTCTTTTTCTTAAGTCCATTTCCCTTTGGGTTCCTCTTACTTGTCAAAGTTGAAATACGTCTATCTTGTTTGTTTTCTTCCCAGGCTTTGTTTTTATCTTAATTTCCCAATTAGAGTTCTAATGTTTCTTCTCCAGTTTATCACAGTTTATCAAGGTTGTTCTGCTACTGATGATTTCCTTAAGGCAATGTCCTGCTTGAAATTACTGAGAGATATCTATTCTCTCTGAAATAAGGATGACTCCCCTCTTGATTTGGTGTAGATGCACCAGGTTCATTATCATTTCTGCATCATTTCCTTAATGATCTTAAAGGATCTGCAGTCTTATCTAATGGTTGCTCTTGTTTGATGCTACTTTGTATTTTTTCCTGTCTTTTTTATTTATTATTGACACTGCTAGAATTAAGAAGATTTATTTTAAATTGTAGATGTGATATTAATAGAAACAAATATCTGGCAATTCTCAATAACAGGTTATGAATCCTCCCTATAGATGAGTATAGAGGAAAGCATGACTGAACCCAAGAGGAAGAAGCACTTGTCTCCAAAGTCTCCTGTAACCATGTTAGCTTTGATTTAGGAAACATCTTTGACAGCCTCTGAATTTTTTTTACAGATATTCCTGTCTTCTATATAAGTGACAGTGGGCTCTCTTTCATATGAAAAGCATTATGGAAATGAATCCTGTGTATCCTCTAACTAGAAATTGTGTGCAGTTTTGTTCTAACTTTGTGTTCAGAACTATAATTAATACCTGCACCCAAATTGCTGAAATGCCAAGTTCAGTAACTTTAGCACAGATATTGCCAATTATAAGCCATCCACCTTTACAGGGTTTTAATATATATATATATATATATATATATATATATAAAACCATAATTCACAGTGTTAAACAACTAATTCCTGTTCCGCTTAGCAATTCTTGAAACGTCTGAAAATCATAGTGGTGCCTTTTGTGTAATAGTGAGATCATGTCCTTTAACCTTTGCATGTTGCACAGGCTGTTTCAAAATCTGAATTAAAAATATTCTCCACTAGCACCTCTGTTAACCGGTTTCTTCCTGTTCATTCCAATCCTTTCCCATGGTTTCCCCTATTTTCATTTTTCTGTTGAGCAACACTGTTTCAAGGGCCTAGCCATATTATCAATATATTCAGAAGCAGAGATTTGTGTTGCAACTGCTTACTATCAAAAGGGGGCTTTTAAAAAATGACTGTAAAGGTGCCTAATGGAGATAAGGAGACAAGAAAACAATATTGGATAAATTACTTTGGGATCGGGAAGCACCTCTAAACCACTAATTTACTCCTGCCCACTTGGAAGTAGGAAATAGATATGTAATGGTGCCCAAGCATTTTTTTTACCTGCTTAGATATAAAGTAAGTGTCATGGCTGCCATAATTCAAATATAGTTCAAGATATACCCAGAGACACATTCAGATAGAGTACAAAGTATTATAGAAGCACAATGTAGGAAAATGTATAGCATACTCAAAATATGGAAAAGGGAAAGGGAAAAGGCAGAACTACTTAATGCCTTCTTTGCCTCGGTCTTCTCACAAAAAGAAAGTCATTTTCAACCTCAGCAAGATGGAGTGGATGAGGGATTAGAGGACATCCAATCCCAAATTGGGAAACCAATCGTCCAGGAATACCTGGCCGCTCTAAATGAGTTCAAGTCCCCAGGGCCAGATCAACTATACCCAAGAGTATTGAAGGAACTAGCGGAAGTCATCTCGGAACCATTGGCAATCATCTTTGAGAGTTCTTGGAGAACAGGAGAAGTTCCAGCAGATTGGAGCAGGGCAAATGTGGTCCCAGTCTTCAAGAAGGGAAAAAAGGATGACCCAAACAATTACCGTCCGATCAGCCTCACATCGATACCAAGCAAGATTCTGGAAAAGATTGTTAAGGAAATGGTCTGGAAACACTTGGAAACAAATGCGGTCATCGCTAATAGTCAACTTGGATTTATCAAAAACAAGTCATGCCAGACTAATCTGATAGAGTTACAAGCTGGGTAGATGCAGGGAATGCCATGGATGTAGCGTACCTGGATTTCAGTAAGGCCTTCGACAAGGTCCCCCATGACCTTCTGGCAAACAAACTAGTCCAATGTGGTCTAGGCAAAATTACGGTGAGGTGGATCTATAATTGGTTAAATGGACGAACCCAGAGGGTGCTTACCAATGCTTCCTCTTCATCCTGGAAATAAGTGACAAGTGGAGTGCCGCAGGGTTCCGTCCTGGGCCCGGTCCTGTTCAACATCTTTATTAATGACTTAGATGAAGGGTTAGAAGGCATGATCATCAAGTTTGCAGATGACACCAAATTGGGAGGGATAGCCAATACTCCAGAGGACAGGAGCAGAATACAAAATGATCTTGACAGATTAGAGAGATGGGCCAAAACTAATGAAATGAAGTTCAACAGTGACAAATGCAAGATAATCCACTTAGGCAGAAAAAACAAAATGCAAAGATACAGAATGTGGGATGCGTGGCTCGAGAGCAGTACGTGTGAAAAAGATCTTGGACTCCTCGTGGACAGCAAGTTAAACATGAGCTGGCAATGTCACGTGGCAGCTAAAAAAACCAATGGGATTTTGGCCTGCATCAATAGGAGCATAGT